TACACTTCTCATCAATAGAACCACATCTGCCTGACTTCAGGGACCTGTCCATCCCTACTGTCCCGAGTTGTCTCTGTGTCTGCGATGTTCTGCCCTGAAAACAAGTTTTTCTTTTCTTTTTCTTTGGGCACAGGAGCAACTTCTTTTTTTTAAAATAAAGCCTACAATATAAATGGTGTGTGTGTGTGTGTGTGTGTGCACTGAAAGTGATGATCTCTGCACGATGAACTTATGTATGGTTTTCACAGATCCTGTCTGCCCCAATAGAAGGGGTGTGTGCTGTGGCATCATGGTCTTAGGGAGGTGGATTCTCTATTCCCCTCACCTTCCCACTGCTCACAGTTGAACTACAGAGACACAAGTTATGTGTGGAAAGGTGAACAGAAGCTTCTGACATAGCTAGAAGGCACTGGAGATCTGGGGACATTGTTTTCAAGGAGCAATGAAAAGATGGAGCTCAGAGCATCTTTATCTCAAAACTGCTGTTTCTATCATACACAGACAGGTACAAGTGGCCTTCAGTACGAGTACTACTGCTCAGTTATTCATGGCACACCATCTTTGGATTTTTATTAATATAGTCCTGAAGAAGATTAAAGAATTACCTTTAGAGGAAACTCAGTGGGACTGAGAAGATGGTTCAGTTGTAATATGTTTACTATGTGTGACTGAGGACATGGGTTTGTATCCCCAGCACCCAGATGAAAAGTGAGCATTCCTGGCTTTATCTGTCTCCAGTATTGTAAGGGAAGACAGCTGGATCCCTAGAACTCAGTGGCTGGCCAGTCTTTCCACACTGATGGGTTCCAGGTATAGCGAAAACCCTATCTCAAAAAATAAGAGGAGCAGGATCAAATAAGACACATAACATGAGTGCCTGCCCTTCACAAGCATACACATGCATGTACACACATTGGCATGTGTGTACCCACATGAATATGCACATATAACACATACATATATACATGAAAACTTTTTCATAGGGACTGGTGAGATGGCCTAGTGGTTAAAGTGCTTTCCAGACAAGCGTGAGTTTGGATTTCTAGAAGCCACATAAATGTCAAATGGATGGGGCAGCTTACCTGTAATTGCAGCCTTAGAAAGCAAAGCTGGGGTCCCAGAGCAAGCTGACTTGGGAGACTAGGCATAGTGGGGAGGTAAGGGTGTCACTGGGAGAGGACTGCCTCGATTAGTAAGATGGACATGTGATGCAGGATGATTCTCAACATACACATCCACACTTATACCACAAAAATACATGTGCCTACACGCAGACAAAATTTATATACATACATGCAAACTACACATATGCTGAAGTAGAAGAGAACAAACATAAATAACAAAAATATCTTTGTTTTTGTTACTTAGGGAGGGGAAGAGGTGTTGCTGGGAGGCTACTTGTTGGTTCTCAACTGCTCAGACTCCCGAAATAACCATACAGAAACTATATTAATTAAAACACTGCTTGGCCCATTAGCACTATCTTCTAATTAGCTAACACGTATATCTTAATTTTACCCATTTCTAGTAATCTCTGTATCGCCATGTGGCTGTGGCTTACTGGGTAAAGTTCCATCCTTCTGTCATGGCTACATGGCTTCTCTCTGACTCCACCTCTTTTCTCCCAGCATTCAGCTTAGTTTTCCCCACCTAGCTCTGTTCCCCTATGGCTCTGCTATAGGCCCAAAGCAGTTCCTTTATTAATCAATGACATTCACAGCATACAGAGGGGGGAATCCCACATCAAAGGGGAAAGAGAGATAAGTGAACATGAATTGGTTGAGTAGGGAGATGGGAAGGATCTAGGAGAAGGGAAAACATTATCAAATTATATTAAATAAAAATTAAATAAAAAGAAAAAACAGTTATTTAAAATCCCATATTAAAATAATTTAAAAATTATCTTTTATTTTGAAGTGGACTGACTGCTTTTAAGTTTAGGGCTTATAATTGGAAGAAACCCAGAATGGTGTATAAAGATAGAAAGACCCTTGATGAAGTATATTCAGTTGCCATTCCATATTCAATTCATGTTTTCTTCACTTGCTCCCTGCTCACCACTTTTTCTCTGTAGGTGTTTCTGCTCCTGCCCACTCTCATCTTTGTGCCCTGGTACTGACCATTGAATCAGAACCCTGAAACCCCTGCAATAGTTGAAAAGTAGGCTTTGGACGAATGGCAGAGTAAGGCTGTGAGACACGGAAATATTCTCCGGGCTCTAGATTAGGCAAACTTACTCAGAGATGTCCTCCATCCCATAGGCATGTCCTGAAGTACACACTAGACTCTCCTGTCCTCTCCCGATGGCCTTGTAATTACCAATCCTAAGATAAAGACCTTGAAGAACAATTTTAAGTATACGTGTAAAGCTAGCGCTGTAACCGATATATTTCTTTGATAAAATGTGAATAAAAAGCCAGGCTATTTTGAGTAAAAGTCATGATGTTTGCATTGTAGTGGACTTCAGTGGTCATCTGTTTTGATAAACAGTATTTTGAAGATAAGCATCGAGTCCTTTAAGACTTGGTGGCAAATAGACCTATTAAGAATCCTATTGTTGGTAGGGCCGTGGTGGTACACACCTTTAATCCCAGCACTCGGGAAGCAGAGACAGGCAGATCTCTGTGAGTTCGAAGTCAAGCTAGTCTACAAAAGCTAGTTCCAGGATAGATAGGACTGTTACACAGAGAAACCCTGTTTCGAAAAAACAAAAAACAAAAACAAAACAAAACAAAACAAAAAAGCAGCTTATCGTAGGGGCCTCCCCTTTATTGTCCTACCAGATTTGTGTAGCTTCATCAGAGAAGCTTCTTTTTGCAGTAAATTGTGATTACCATGGAGACCCACACTGGTCAGCATGAAGAGAATAAGGTACTGTGAAGTGCTCAACCCTAAATAGGGCATCTGTATCATGTTCTTCCTTTAGAGCTATGTGGTCATCATGGAAGTGGTGGGGAGATGTTATTAGAGCCTGCGCGGTGATACATTGTTTGTTGGGCACAGTGGGACTGTTACATATAAACCCACAGCAACTGTGACTGCATGCCCAAGACCTGAAAAAGATCAAACCAGCTGAGATCCCAGAATGGATAGGAAAGGGGCTCATGCAGTCCCACCGTTAACTGAGGCACAACTGGAGACTATTGACTTCTAGGGAAGGGAGAATCAGTTTACTTTATTGATGTGGCCTGTAAGAGGCAACTCATGCTTTAGGAGGTTTTCCTACACCCTAGCAGATATAGGCAACACATGAACTTGTGGTATATATGATCCCATAATATTTGAGAATTTAAATAAGTATCATATTTAAAAAATACTCATTTAAACTGTCAAATATTTTGAAATTATATATAATAGAATAAAATATTATTAAAATTCTTAATAGTCTTAGAAAACTAGGGAAAGGAAATATATCATGCTTAATTAAATAGGTCTGTAGAATATATGGATGCCTTAAAGCATCCTCCAGTCCTTCTGCTGTTACAAAACACTGACCACATATTAGTGACTATGAAGTCTGAATGAGGGGTCTCTGACATACCATTATTCTTATTCTACTTAACTAAGCAAGCTTTCTATCAACAGCCAAGTGTACCACCCTGGCTCTCACAGAGGTGCAGTGACAGGGGTTCCTGGGAGCTGCAGCTTTGTGGCTAAAGTCCTGGAGTCCGGGCTACTATACATTTGAGAGCGTGGCTGCAGAAACTTTGGGAATAAGTAGGAGGGAATGCCACTGGTGTTCTGAATGTTCAAGGCTAGCAAAACAAGATCCACGTTTAGGTGGACACGAGTCTTTCGGTGAGATTAACTCCTTTGTTAAGACTTACAGATAAATTTTGTCTTTCAACTCCATTAAGTCAGGATGGGTAGTGGTTTTGTATAGACATACTGAGACTGAAGTTTCACGAACAATGTAGTCAGCGTGTCTTTGGGTTTGTGATTAGTCCTCAACCCACTTAACTGTTCTTACATTACCTTCAGTAGACAAGGAGCCAAACTACAGGCAGGGTAAAATGCATGATTGTCCCTGTATTAGTCAGGGCTCTCTAGAGATATAGTGTGTGTGTGTGTGTGTGTGTGTGTGTGTGTGTGTGTGTGTGTGTGTGTTTACACAAGGGGATTTATTAGAACGACTTACAGACTGTTGCTTAGCAAGTCCAACAATGCCTGTTTACCGATAGAAAGTCCCAGATTCCAACAGTTGTTCACTCCATGAGTCTGGGTGTCTCAGCTGATCTTCAGTATACAACCGAATCCTGGAGAAGCAGACTTTATTGCCAATGAAGGGTAACGGGAGGGTGAGGGCAAGCAGGCAAAAAGCACAAACTTCTTTCTTTCTTGTCCTTCGTAATGGCTCCCATGAGCCACGAGTCTTTATTGGTAAGGACTTCCACATGTTTTTGGAAAGTTGCAAAGTAGCATTTCAGTTGGCAAAGTGAGGACATCCTTTCAGGAAATCACCTTGTAGAGATGTCTTTAAGGTCTGGAGAGACAGCAGTTAAGAGCACTGTCTGCTCTTCCAGAGGACCAGGGTTCAATTCCAAGCACCCACATGACAACTTACAGCTGTCTGTAACTCTAGTTCCAAGGGATCCCTCATACAGGCATATATGCAGGCAAAACACCCATGCACATAAAATAAAAATAAGTTATTTTAAAAAGAATATGGGTTTGGTGGTGAAGGAAAACTTAGAGCTTTATAATTGGGGTAGGGGGATTATCTTAATATTAATGGCCCCTGCTGGACAATAGTGGTACGCACCTTTAATCCCAGCACTTGGGAGGTAGAGGCAGGAGCATCTACATGAGTTCTAGACCAGCCTAGTTACAGAGTAGCTAGGACTGTTATACAGAGAAACCCTGCCTTGAAAAAACATACATATATATCACCCCACCCAATATGAAAATATGAAAATTTTTCATATGTGAGTGAACATAATTTCTTGCCTGTTCTATGTGAATTTCTAAGAGTTTTTTTTTTTATGTTTTTTGGCACCCAGGAACTAAATAGCTTTAATTACTTGGATCTGTACAGACTTGCTGACCTCTTTCACCTCACTTTGCTGGAGAAGGCTGTGATTGATTTCCTAGTGAAGCATCTCTCGGAGCTTCTAAAGAGTCGCCCGGAGGATGTTCTCACACTGCCCTACTGTCTGCTTCAGGAAGTGCTCAAGAGTGACCGCTTGACCTCCCTGAGTGAAGAGCAGATCTGGCAGGTAAGGGCACACTGCGTGGCCTCGGAAAGGCATGACATCATCAGAAAGGGAAGAATTCAGGTGCAACAACTCCCTCGGTGGGCAAGTCATTGGTAGACACGTACCAATCTGCAGCCATTTACACCTGCCAGTCTGCAGCCATTGGAGGACATCCGCCAGTCTGCAGCCATTGGTGGACATCCGCTAGTCTGCAGCCATTGGTGGACATCCGCTAGTCTGCAGCTCCTCGGGAATTAGACCAGCACTGTGGTTTCCTCAAACCTGGGTAAATCAGAAAAGGGAAGGGATTTTCTCTTGACACCAAAAACGTTTCTTAAGCTTAATATGAGAAGAATGGATTGTAAAACAATTTTTACATATTCAAGCCATTGAAACAAAAAGAATTTAGGGTGTGGGGAGAAACCATTCATAAACATTTCTTTTTAAAATTATTTAAATGGGAAAAATGTAGAAATAGCTTTTGGTAGTTCAAATAAACTTTTTCATTTGAGTTTTTAAGTAATTTGTGATAACTTATTAATAAATTTTGAAGTTGGCGATTTTTAATGTTTTAAGTCTGGGTGAAGGACTTGTCTACAAGTCAATGATATGAAGGTTAACAGATAAATTTATATGTCATAGGTAAACACAAATATTCAAAAATGGTTGTACTCTGGAATCTTTGAGATTGTTTTTAAATAACTTGGAGTCCGTTCCAAAAATTCCTAAGAGCAATAGTGTGCATGTCTAGGGAATTTGGAATGTTTTCAAAAGTTGTTTCTTTTATTTTTAAGATTATAATATAATTTAATTATTTCTCTTTTCCCTTTTCCTTTCTCCAAATGCTCTCATATACCCCCTTGCTCTTTCTAATCTGTGACCTTTTTTCCATTAATTTTTGTTACATGCATATAAGTATATGTATATACATACACATATATAAACATATACACATAAACACACAGAGAGAGGCCTCCATACAATCTGCATGCTCTGTATAGTGTTACTTGTATATTTGTTTTCAGGGTGAACCAGTTGGTACTGGATAACCAGTTGGTGGGGTCTTCCTTGAGGAAGACTATTTCTTCTGCTCTCAGCATTCCCTGATTGCCTGTAGTTCTTTTTGTAGGACTGAAGTCTTGTGGGTTTTCCCCTGCCTTCACTTGAGCATGCGTATTGTCATCTTTGTTTGGGTGGTCATGTTGGTGAGACATTATGGGTGTAGCTTTGACGTTACTAGAAGACATAATTTCACCGCAAGCTTCTGATTCTATGGCTCTTACAATCATGCTGCCTCCCCTTCCAAAATGTTCCCTGAGCCTCAAATGTAGGGGTATTTGGTAGATGTATCCATTGAGACTGGGCTACCCAACTCTGCATTTTGGTTGGTTGTGGTTTGCTGTAGTGGTCTCCATCTGTTGTAAAGAGAAGTTTCCTTGATGAACTGTGAGGAATACACTTATCTGTGGGCATAAGGAGAAATAATTAAATTTTAGTTGGGGATTGTGTTGGTTTAGTAAAGAGGTTAGTGGTAGGTTCACCTTTAAGATCTGTGATTCTTCAAGAGCCTTGGGTAGTAGCTGGCTTGGTTTCCAGAGCCAGGCATGATTTTCCTACTGTTGAGTGAATCTTAAATCCAATTAGAGAGTTCTTGGTTACTACCAAGGTATGTGCCCATAAGTACACCTTTAAGGTTAACTTGCCAAGCTGGTCATTGCATGGTTTATAAGTTTCATGGATGGCCAGAACGGCTGGTTCTTTCCCTCCTTTGGAATCTTGCATAGCACCTTCTGGTGCCTTGGAAGTTAGTCCTCAAGGAGGAGACATTCAGGTCAGCTCCCACTGAGGGGCCTCTGGTCTCTGTGTGTGAGGTGCATGGTGTCTTTAGCAATATGGGCCTTCACCATCCACATCTGGGCGAAAACCAGGACAGTAGAAACAGCCTGTGAGTTTGGGGAGTCTCTTGGACGATTCTGATCACCACTCCAAAGAGGGCTTCTTATGCCTGGGGTGAGGGTTTTTTTTTTTTTTTTTTTTTTTTTTAGATAATCTTTGGCTCTTGGAGGAAGGATTTTCTTCCCAGATGAGAAAATTTCTTTTAAACTGTATATGTATATACATAGATGTATTGCATTATTGTTTTTTAAGACAGATAGCTATAGTATGATTCCTTATGACTTTTCCTGACATTCTTATGGTTATTTTATCCTCTCCTTCCTTTGCACTTATTTCCCTCTCCCCTACCCAATTAGAGTCCCCCTTTTCCCAATCCCAGATCAGATCACATATACCCTGCTATTCCTCTCTATTGCTCCTTTACCGACTCTCTCTTTTTATTTTCAGAAGCACTTCCTTACTCTAATAGATGATGCTTAAATCTCAAATGAAAGACCTCAATGTTCTTCCTACACTAGAGTGGGAAAAAAAAAAAACCCTCTAGTTCATTATGCATTCCTTACTGCTTTCGCAAGCCCTTCCTTTTCCCTGACTCTAGAATCTTTTCACATCCTGTCACTGCTTTGTCTAGCAGTGGGACAGGGAGGATGTTTTTTGTTTGAAAGTTGATTATTCAATTTGAATCCTCTTCTGCTCATCCCTAGTGACTGTCCTTGGATACTGCGCCTGAAGTCGTTGGGATGTGCATCCCTTTTCTCCCTTCCCTGTCTCATTCTGCAGCTCTGTCTACACATCTTGATGCTACTTAGAGTGCTGTGCCTGCAGGATGGGGTGAAAAATGGGTACCTTGTCCAAATACTAGGAAACGTTCAGTGTTCTATTGGCAGATGGGGTAGTAAACTCCGATTTTGCTAGCCATAGTCAGGTAGTTATATTATGCTTGTTTGCTTGTTTGTTTGCTTGCTTGCTTTACCACTGGTCAAATGTGTCGCTGAACACTGATTCTACTGATATATAACTTCCCAGATACCTGGCTTCCTTCTTTGAATTTTAGTCAGCAGTTGTCATTCTTTTTATTGAACGTAGTAAGAGATAAGGGCCAGGCAGGTCGCAGATATTTGAAACCGTATTGACTTATCAGCACAAGAGGCCTGAGGAGCAGCTGGCCCCATCTCCATCCTTTAACAAGGCTCTGTACTTGGCTCCAGTTTACAGGGCAGAGCCCCTTTCGAATCCAAGTCTCTTGATACCAACCACATCTCCTCACTAGTCCACAGTCTTGGTTTTAAAAAGTAGTTACAAGTGCTTGCTGCTTCCTGGGCATGTCAGGGAATGTTTGTTCAGGCAATGGTTGCTAGTGCTGGTGAGGATATGGTTCTGGCAGGGATTTCAATAATCCGCATCCCTGCCCTATCATGCAAAGCATCAGGATTTACTATGGCCAGCTCAGAGTACGAAGTAGCCAAATTCCTTTCCTTCGTTAAGGGGAAAAGATACAGACTAGATTTAGATTCTGTGCCTTTTATCCTACCAAGATTGAGATTTGAGGCCACCCATTCTTTTGACATCTGTCTGCTATTGTGCCACGGTTGGAGGCACTGCCAGAGATTGACACGGTGATGTGCAGATATCTGGATAGCAGGAAAATTCCATTCTGTCTGCTTAGAAGCTACTACACAGTTGCCTCTCGAAAGGCTACAGTATTATAAAGTAGAATTTTAGAAACTGGTTTCTGCAGGCAATAAGATAGTTTCTTTAGACCTGATCACTGAAAAGAAATTAAAAGACTTCCATAAATATTATCAATTTAGGCATTCAGTAGGCAATAAGAAATTGTTTTCACTTTATCTTAGCAAATAAGTAATCCCCTCATACTCAATAGAGAAAAATCAAATCAGACCAACTATAGTGCCTCAAGTAGAGTTAAGTTCATCATTTTTCTTTTTCTTGCTGAGGTTATACTAGTAATGCAATATACCATGGAAGAATCTAATATTCAGCCCAGGGTAAAGATTGGGTCTGCCAGAGGATTAGTGTCAGGGTGCTTTACAGAAGTGAAACTTGACGGACAGGCTGGAGACAGATCTCCAGAATCTCATTAAACCGCTGAATTGTTCATTACAGAACGTTCTCACTGTAATAAAGTGCTCATTGACTTTGACAAATCCCCATCCCATGTCTTAAAGAACAGCGACGAAGGGGTGCCGAGGAAGAGAAAGGAAATTGGCACCAAGTAGGGCAGGTAATAGAAGCTCAGATGAGGGGTAGTGCCATCTGATTAATATGTGCGGCACCGCTTAGGTGAACCTGGTCCGCACACATGAGTTTACCCAGGTGGCTGTCTCACTACACACTGGTAATGTAATCTGGGACCGTCCCTTATCTGGAGGAAGGTCTCGTTTTCATTATTTACCAGTTTGGTTCTGAAGACCTGTCATGAGAGCCATTAAATAACCCCACTGCATAAACTAATTTATTTACCCTTTCCTTTTTCTGTCCCTCACCTTGATACGCTATGCTGCAACCTGCAGTGACCATTTCATGGATCTATGGGCTTCCTAAATCTCTGCATCATTATTCTTTGTTTCTATGTTTATTTGTCCTGGGGGTATGGTGGGGAGATAGGGATTTTGTATCCTCTGCTGGCCTGGAACTCACTCTGTAGATGAGGCTAGCCCTGACCTCACAGGTCTCTTGCCTCTGCTCTAGAGTATGCAGATTAAAGGTATTCACCACCGTACTCAGACCGTTTGATCTTTTTAAACTTCAAGTCTCTTCTTTTGCATAGGATGTCTTAGCCTGTCCCACATGGTTTTCCTTTCATTAGCCAGTCGTTACTTGGTCTCTTAGTTAACTCCACTGTGTTGGCAGAGGAAACAGATGTTCGAACCACAGTTGTGTAGCATATGTTTTATGACCCAAAGGACTTTAAATGTACATTGCTTAAAATTCTCCTCGGTATAACTTAGCAGTTTGGTTTTATGTCCAGAGGAGAATGGTTTCTCAAATTCCAAATGAAAGCCACCAAATATTAGCTTCAAAGAAAGAGGAAACACAGCCAGCCGAAAAATGAGCAGGTGAGCACAGAGGACGTAGGAGTTCGCGGTCTCCCACTGCATTGCCTG